ATGCGCACGCACGGCGCGCACACGACGCGACGCCGCCGCGACCCCGCTGCAGCCGCCGCAGCCGCGGCGAAGACGACAAAGAGGTACGAGGATGACGACGCTTACTGCGCGACGACGAAGCGTCACCATGCTGCTGAGGAGGAGGAGGAAGAGGAAGAGGAGGAGGAGGAGGAGGAAGAGAATGACGGGGAGCGGCGCGGGGAGGACGCAGCCGAGCCGAGCTGTCCCGTGTGCGGCAAGACGTTCCTGTCGGCGTACGGCCTGCAGACGCACGTCGAGGCGGCGCACCCGGACGCTGCGTACCGCTGCGACGCCTGCGAGCTGTGCTTCCTCACGCTGCTGTCGCTCGACGAGCATCGCCACCTCGTGCACCGTCGCGCCGCGGCCGGGCCGCGCGGCCGCGAAGCCACCGCCGCCGCCGCTGCGCCGATGACGTTCCACGAGAGCAACAGCTTCTTCGAGCTGGCGTCGCTCTGCGAGGTGTCGCTGCCCAAGTTCCCGCTCGTCGCGAAGGCGTGGTGCGAGGCGGCGGGCCGCGTGCGCCCGAGCAGCCGCACGCACCGCTTCACGTGCCGCGTGTGCCGCGCCTCGTTCCCGTGCCGCGCGGCGCTCACGCTGCACCGCGCGCGCCACGCTAGCGTCGACGCCGGCTACTGCGCCGCGTGCGGCACGCACTTCCTAACGCGCACCGAACTCGAGACGCACAAGCTGTCTCACCTGCCGACGGAGAGCGTCGGCGACGACGACGACGACGACGACGACGACAAGGCCGGCTTCATGGCGATGCTGAACCTGCGCGGCGCTGCCACGAGAACGAGAGAAAGGGGAAGAAAGTCCGTCGTTTCCGCGGCGACGCGGCATCAGCAGCGGCGTCTCTTGCCAGCCATCAAGGAGGAGCCGCCGGCAGACGCCGCCGCCGCCGCCGCCGCCACTGTGCAGGCAGTGCCAGCGCGAAGCCACTGCCTGAAGCTGATTGGCCTGAACGAGGATGGCGGCGGTGACCTCGCGGACATTGCGAGCATCCTGCGCCTTGCCGCCGCGCCGCCGTCGTTACCCGATCACCACCAGCAGGACCCCTGCATTAGCTCGTCAACGTCGCCCGCAAAGACGGACGCGCGTCACGCTCGCGCGGCCGCTGACGAGAACGGCAACGTCGTCGCTGACAGCCCGACGGCGCGGGAGGCTGGCGCAGAGGATGCGGGCGTTGCTCGCGGCAACGGGATGCTGCACTGCGGGCAGTGCCGCGCGCCGTTCAGCAACGCGCGCGCGCTGAAGGTGCACTCGCGCGCGCACCTCGGCCTCGCGCCGTACCGCTGCGACGTGTGCAGCTACCAGACGATCGACCGCAGCACTCTGCTGCGCCACCTGCGCAGCCACAACGGCGAGCGGCCGTTCCGCTGCCAGCTCTGCGGATACGCGTTCACGACGAAGGCGAACTGCGACCGGCACGTGCGCAACAAGCACGTCAAGAACGCCGCGAGGTTGGACGCCCACGTCAAGACGTCGCCGCCGACTCCGCAGGTGTGCGTCACCGACACCGTCTGCCTCTACTGCGACACCGACTTCAAGTCTGCGCGTGCACTCCAGCGCCACCTGCGCACGCACCACGCGAAGCAGCGCAACGTGTTCCGGCCGTTCCGCTGCCGCGTGTGCGCGCTCGGCTTCTCGACGCGCAACAACTGCGTGCGGCACGTGATCGGGCATCACCACGAGATCGACCGCTCCCTCGCGAAGTCCGCCGTGCTTATCCAGACGGCGAGCGTCGAGACGACGCCACCGCTGCGGCCGACGGCAGCGTCCGCTCAGCAGGGGGCGCCGGCCGAGAACAGGGATGCGAGCGACGGCGACGACGGCGACGACGACGACGACGACGACGACGACGACGACGACGACGGTTGCCTCGTCATCGACATGAATGCCCGCGACGGAGGCAGTCGCCGTGACGACGACGACGACAACGCGAAGCGTGCCGCAGACGATAAGAGAGCGTCGGAGTCACCGATCGATCTGTCGGTGAAGCGGCAGCAGCAGGAGCGGCACGAGCGCGACGCAGCCGCTGCCGACATCCGACCCACCGACCTTCGCGACCTTCGACCCCCCAAGCTTGCACCGGCAGATCTTCGACCGGTTGACTTTCGCGACCTACAACCTGATGCCCTGCGACCTGCCATCGAGGCGAACCTTCGAGACATGGCCGCCTGGCTCGCGAACAACGTACCGCCGCCGCCGCTCGCAACGACGCAGCTGCACCTCAAGGTGGAGCCACCAGACGCCGGCGCGCCGCCTCCGCCTCCGGACCTCGACCAGCTCGTGTCGGCGAGCCTCGCGCAGCTGGACGGCTGCTACGACCGCAGCATGCACAAGTGGGTGTGCCCGCAGTGCGGCGACATGTTCAACGGCGCCGCGAAGCTGAAGGTGCACCACGTGACGGCGCACCGCGCCGCCGCCGCCGCCGGCCGCCGCCCCTACCGCTGCTACCTGTGCCCGACGACGTTCATCAGCCAGGTCGAGTCTGACGACGCACCTGCAGGGCTACCACCAGGTGAAGAAGAGCGCCGCGTCGATGGCGGCCGCCGCGGGGGCAGGAGGAGGCAACGTAGCGTTGGTGAAGGCGTTGGCGCCGCCAACCTTCTCCCCGCCCGCGGCGTTCGTCTCGCCGCCGCTGTCCGCCTCCGCCGGCTTCCCCGCGGCGCCGGGCATCTTCCCGTCGTTGGCGCGGCTGTCACCGCTCGCGTACGGATTGCTGCATACTATCAAGCCCGAGCTTGCGGACGCCGTGCCGCCGCTGCTCTCCCCCGTTGCCGCTGCGCAGCCTCCTTCCACGCCGCTGACAAGCCCAAGCAGTGAGCAGCCGAGTGCGTCCGCCGCCCCGGCGATGATGACGGACGCCCCGCTTACGCAGCTGGAGATCGACGTCGGGCCGCCGGAAGGAAATTACCGCGGCGACCGCGCGGCAGCGACCGATTCGTCGTCGGAGCGCGGCAGCTTCACGAGCGGCGACTCGGAGCTCGCCGACGTCAGTCGCATGATGCTCGTTACCGATAGCAACCGCTTCCAGCAGTACCTCGAGCCGACGGCTGCGAGCGGCAGCGGCTCGACAGGCAGCCCCGGCAGCGGCGGCGGCGGCGACGCGCGCCCGGACACGACGCGGCCAAGCCCGACGGGCGACGAGCGCGTGCGCAAGGGCCGCAGCTCGTACTCGCTGACGCCGCACAAGTACAACTGCCCGCACTGCAGTCGCCGCTTCCCCTGGGAGAGCTCGTTGCAGCGGCACATCCTCACGCACACGGGCCAGAAGCCGTACAAGTGCCCGAAGTGCGCCGTGTCGTTCTCGACCAAGTCGAATCGCGTGCGCCACCTGTCGCGCAAGCACGGCTCGACGCCGGCGGCGGCGGTGCCGCTGCCACCGCGCAACTCGGCCTTCCTCTGCCGGCTCTGCAAGAACGGCTACTCGTCGATGGGCAACCTGCGGCGGCACTGCCAGCTGAAGCACGGCGAGCACGACCTCGCGACCCTGCTGGCGCACGTGATGGGCCAGCAAGGCGACGGCGGGGGCGGGTCGAACAGCTTCTCCGTTCTTGACGTCACGAAGATCCGTGCGAACATGGACCGCTCGCTGGAGGTCCTCCACCACCTCGGCGACATCTCGGACGACGACGACGACGAGGGCGGGGAGGAGGCAGAGGAGGAGGAGGAGGAGGAGGAAGGGGAGGAGCCGGGCGACAGCGATACGGCGTACTACTGCCGCCACTGCGACGACGTGTTCGCGTCGATGCACGAGCTCGTGGTGCACTCGGGCGAACGCCACGGCGACGCATCGCCCGGCGTGCCGGCGTACCGCTGCCACGTGTGCGACGACAATGGCCGCGCGTTCACGCAGCGAGACGCCTGCCTCGCGCACATCCGCGAGCGCCATCCGGACGAGTTCGCCGAGGTGACACCAGGAGGCGCCGGCGACAGCGACGCGGCGAGCCCGGACTATAGCGAGCGGCACTTCCTGTGCGCGTTCTGCCCGAAGCGGTTCTGGTCGTCGCAGGACTGGCGGCGCCACCTGCGCACGCACTCGGGCGAGCGGCCGTACCAGTGCCGCGTCTGCCGCCGCCGCTTCTCGCTGAAGCACAGCATGATGCGCCACCTGAAGATCCACCTCGACGAGGCGGCGGCGGCGGCGGCGGCGGCGGGAGAGGGCGCGGATGTAGGTGGCGCTGCCGACGCCATGCACGTCGACGACGGTGAGGCGGAGGAGGCGGAGGAGGCGGAGTCACCGGGCGAGGATGTGGGCGGCGGCTCGCTGGACATGATCCAGAACTTGCTGGGATTGGAGGACGCCTCAATGATTGACAAGATGCTAGAAAGTGCAGACAAGGCTGCGGAGATGCTGGGCGTGACAACATAGGCCCCGCCCACCTGCCCCGCCCATCTGCCCCACCCCTGCCCCGGAGCGGAGGTCAGAGGTCACGACGTTCGCCGAGGCGCGACCTCGTAATCGCATGCGCCGCCGCACCGCTGCATTGTTCGTCGCGATCGCTCGCCGCGTTAGTCATCCTCACCCGCCTGCGGTGCAGACGCATTCCTGCTCACGCTCAGACCGACGACGCGGCGGCGGGGTGAACGATCCGATCTGCATTGCTGCGGGCCGCCGCTAACGAGCGACGCACCTGAGAGCCGACGACCGCAGCATCCCTGCATGCGTAAGTAACGAACGATGAGCTGGCGCGTCCCCGTAGGCAAGGCTGCTCACCCTGCATGATCGCGAGCACGCAGGACAACACAGCCAACAGCCGCCTGGGGGCAAGCGCGGCCTACCTGTCCCCATGCGTGCATGCGCCCGCACGTATAATCACGCGGGCAGCAGCAGTGGTTGCGTATTCTCGCGAACGGTCACTCCGCGCGGTCGGTCAACCGCACAATCCTGCTCGCTCGCAAAACCACAGCCAGAGTCAGACACATTTGCATGGAAGATCGTGCAACACTCTGTAGGAAG